GCCCTGAAGTAATCAGATCTGTGGATTATTCAAATGTCCTATGTACCTAGTTTCATTAAAATATGATCAGTGGTACTAAAGATATCTGTGGAGCACCTATATATTGATTAATTTATGAAAATTAGGTAATTAGTAAGCACAAAATTCAATACTAAACTGAACATGTATATGACTTATCCTTGAGCATTTACATTGTGTGTGTAGTTTTATTGAAATCTGTTTAATGGTTCTTAAGAAGTAAAAATATTGAAAATTTGCTAATTAATATGCAAATTAGGAAATTAGTATACACAGGATTTCAATCAAAACAAAACAGTACTTCACACTATCCCAGAGCATCTATGCAGCAAACAAGTTGAAATGCTTAAATTAAATTTGGGTAATTAATATGCAAATTACATAATTAATATGCACAGATTTCAACCAAAACCTAATTAGGTTTGCGCATTATCCCAGAGCATCTGCATTAAGTGACACTGAAATCTGTTCGAGTACACAAGAAACAAGTGAAAATGCTTAAAATCAGTTAATTAATATGCAAATTAGGTTATTAATATGCACAGATTTTAACCAAAATCTAATCAGGTTCGAGCATTATTCAAGAGTATCTATGTACCAAGTTTCATTAAAATCTGCTCAATAGTACATGAGAAACAAGTGAAAATGCTCAGTATCTGTTAAATATATGCAAATTAGATAATTAATATGCATGGATTTCAACCAAAAACTAATCAGGTCTGAGTATTATCCAAGAGCATCTATATCCCAAGTTTCATTAAAATCTGCTCAATAGTACACAAGAAACAAAAATGCTTGAAAATTAGTTAATTAATATGCAAATTAGATGATTAATATGCAACCAAAAACTAATCAGGTATGAAAGCATCTATGTACAAAGTTCCAATAATATCTGATAATTGGTTTTTGAGATATAAGTGGAACAGACACACTAACCGCAAAGACTCCCATTGAGTGCTTACACACTGGTCAACAACTCCGGTTTCATGAACAGATGAGGCTCAAAACTTGGCAAACAATTTTATTATGATGATTCTCAACTCCAAGATTTGTTGTTCATTGATTAATTTTTGTCAGCAAATTCCAGCAGATATTTGTGTTCACTTTCATTATTTGATATCTGGAATATATGTTATTGAACATTTTTGTTTGTGTATGTTATTGTTAGTTTTTCTTTAATATTCAGATATTAAAAATTTTAATATTTGTTGAAATTAATAGTATTTTCAATAATAAACTAAAATTTATATATAGTGTACTTTGAGATTTTTAATTAAAAGATTCAATTGTGCAAATTAAGAAGTCTCTTATTTTTACAAATTACAAATTGTTCAGGCCTACAAGATTTAAACAAGCAGCCTGTCGGCTGAGATAGCTCCGCTGTTAGCAATGCACATTTCAATTAAAGAACAGAAGATATCATTAGAAAATAAACAATATACATAGTATCAATGCAATGGGGACTTGCTGTTTTCAACAAGAATTCAAAAATATAATTTTTAACCAAAAATGATTGTCGAAAATATCACTTTTTACCAAAAATGACAAAAATATTCACCAAAATTAGAGAATTAAAGATGTCATTACAAAATGAACAAATCTGAGAGAGATTCACATGTAGTACCTATATATGTAATATCAAAGCAATTGAACTTGCATTTTTTAACAAGAAGTCGAAAATATCACTTTTTACCAAAAATGACAAAAATATTCACCAAAATTAGAGAATTGAAGATATCATTACAAAATGAACAAATGTGAGAGAGATACACATGCAGTACCTATATATGTAATATCAAAGCAATTGGACTTGCGGTTTTTAACAAGAAGTCGAAAATATCACTTTTTACCAAAAATTACAAAAATATTCACCAAAATTAGAGAATTGAAGATATGATCATGAAATGAACAAATCTGAGAGAGGTCTACCCAAGGTACATATACACCAAGTATCAAAGCATTCAGGCTTGTAGTTTTCAAGAAGAAGTCGAAAAAGTAAAACATTGACACGAACGACGGACACCGGACGACGACAGACAATCACTCATATGATAAGCTCCGCTCGACAAAGTCGACAGCGGAGCTAAAAAATTAATACACACATTTACCATCAGTGACTGTCTCAAAAATTCCCAAGTAGGAAAGGTGGTGTAGCACAAGATAATATTCAAAAGTAATATCAAGTGAAGACAACACAAAGCAGGAGTCTCTCACCAAAGTCTGTGTACAGAATGTAGTAGGGGTGAAACAAAGTAATTCGTGTTGTGTTGACTAAAACTAAAAAACAGATTGCTTAACACCAAAGGCAAGCGTAACTCTAAAGATGGGGAATTAGCTTTTTTACAACCTTAACAACAATAAAAGCCCTGTTGGGTAATGCAACTGTGAGACACTCAAAACAAAAACAAAACTGAAAACAGGTGGCCTAACATGGGGGGGGGGGGGCACCTAAAAGGCAGTATGCCAACAGTTTCTTCTTTCTCGCACTTTCCCAAATAAATAAAGATTTTTGACATCTATCAAAACCCTGCACTCTCCATTGACACCCCCCTGCATTAACTTGACAACCAACTTGGACTTATTTGGCTATGATGACTGGGAAGCAGTCATTACGCTTACATGCTAATTAGTATGCAAATTACCTTGAGCTCTTTAATCTTTTCTTGGGGGGCACTGCATAAATGACAACAACATTTCTTGATCAGTTTGATATTTAGTATTTAATAAATATATTAATAACATCATGTAAATGACATTCACACTAGAAAGTACAAGAAGCCTGTTGACATTGCTTATGTCCATTACCAGTCTAGATGGACAACAGTACTCGGGTCTATAATTTCCAAGCTTAATGAAACACCTTTAGCTTTAAGCCATAGCTATTACAGAAATACGTGTTTAAGTACAAAGCCCAAATTAGGCCTAGGAACTGTCTAGAAAATGACAAACAAATGTACAGTACACTTTCTATTTCAAGCCTACCGCGATATCCATATAATGAGAACTTCCGGAACTTGCTGAATGATAACTTTTACCATGATTGATGAGCGTCTCGGCTGATAAGAAAGCAATGTTGACTTGACCTCTATGATGAAACACGAGTAGTGATGTCATTCTTAGCCAATCAGTAAAGCAGATGCTTAAAAAGTGATTATCTGTAAACAAAAGCATCGTGTACCATCGTAGAAGAACGACCCCATTTTTCCCCGTCTCTTATTGTGATTAGACTTGAATGAAAGTGCCAATCTGACAGACAGCGAAATCTGTGGATTAAAAGTGCTAAGTTCAAATTATGTGCAACGACATCGAAAAACTTCAGAACGAAGCTGTAGAGATTTTGTTTGATGGTGACATTGACGCCAACTTGAACTTTTTTTACTTTAACAAAGATGGCAATGAATGTACAAATAAAGATCTGAGCTATTACACAAATACGTGTTTAAGTACAAGGCCCAA